ATGGGCGAGACAAGCTGCAACGCGAGTTGAAGACCAAGAACTTGGAACTGGCAGACATGATTCGCGAGCGCGACCGAGCGCTCATGGAGAAGGACCGTCACACTGGTGGCCACCGTGAGGAGACTGAGAAGCTGAAGAGGGAGCTCCGTGCTGCCCTAGACAGAGCCGACAATCTCGAGCGTGGCAAGGGCTCAGAACTTTCGGCAATGCTGTCAAGACACAACCGAGAAATCGCGGATCTTGAGGAAGCGCTGCGGAACAAGACCCGCGCGCTAGACGAGTTCCAGATGAAGTACCGTGAAGGTGACTCTGACCTGGAGCGTCAACTGCGCGACAAGGAGGAGGAGCTGGAGATCTTCCGTGCTGGTATGGACCAGACGCTACTCGAGCTGAACGAGCTGAAGCTCAACGCTGGTACCAACGATGATGTCCTGGACGGCCACTTGGACACAATTATCCAAGACAGCCTCCAGAAGATCAACGACCTCATCGACTCCGTCCTCCAGAGTGGTGTGCAGCGTGTTGACGATGCGCTGTATGAGCTCGACTCTCCTATGCAAGCCGGAAACCAGAATGCCACTGGCGCGTACGTGCTTTCGCAGATTGAGAAGGCATCAACGTGCACCATGGAGTTCTCGACTGCTTTCAACAACTTCATTGCTGACGGGCCGAACGCCAAGCACGCTGAGGTTATCAACGCCGTCAGCAACTTCGGTGGCGCTATCGTCGATGTGTTGGTGAACACCAAGGGACTGACGCGATTCGCTTCTGATGAGAATAAGGCTGACCAGCTCATCAACGGCGCGAGAGCCTCTGCAACCTCGACCATTAGGTTCTTCCGTAACGTCCAGTCAGTGCGCATGTACGACATGGACGCGGAGCAGAAGATCAACGTTGTCATCAACAACAGCACAGAAGTCGTGCGCAACCTGCAGAGCTTGTCCAAGCTCGCGGACGCTTTCGCACCCAAGAGCAAGATCACCAACGCCTCTGGCGATCTTGGTGACTTGGTCGACAACGAGTTGACCAAGGCAGCCAACGCCATCGACGCGGCCACCGAGCGTCTTTCCAAGCTGATGAAGAAGCCGAGAGACCAGTACTCTACCTACGAGCTCAAGATCCACGACTCCATCCTCGAAGCAGCCATCGCCGTCACAAACGCCATTGCGCAGCTCATCAAGGCCGCCACCGAATCCCAAAAGGAAATCGTGCGCGAAGGACGAGGAAGCATGTCCAAGACCCAGTTCTACAAGAAGCACAACCGCTGGACCGAAGGTCTCATCAGTGCCGCCAAGGCCGTCGCCACATCGACAAACATGCTCATCGAGACCGCCGACGGCGTCATTTCCGGTCGCAACTCGCCCGAGCAGCTTATCGTTGCTTCCAACGACGTTGCTGCCTCCACCGCTCAGTTGGTGGCTGCTAGTCGTGTCAAGGCCAGCTTCATGAGCAAGACGCAAGACAGGCTGGAGAGCGCATCCAAGACTGTCACTGCGGCTTGCAGGTCGCTTGTCAGGCAAGTGCAGGAGATCATCGCCCAGAAGAACAGGGACGAGGGCGAGGTTGTCGACTACAGCAAGTTGGGCGACCACGAGTTCAAGGTCCGCCAGATGGAGCAGCAGGTATGTATCCATCAACGATTCTTTGGGGAAGAACAGACGCTAACAAATAATTCTAGGTCGAGATTCTACAGCTCGAGAACTCGCTTGCGCAGGCTAGGACTAGGTTGGGTGAGATGCGCAAGCTTTCTTACCTTGAAGAGTAGATGTCTGCACTTTGGCGCTTGTTCGTTCGTGTGGATAGCTGCTGGTTTATCGTGGATAGTTACCATTCATTATTATTGTCTCATGGTGGACACCCTTTGTAAACAAAGCTTGTTCTTCTTCCTCTATAGTTTTGAAAGGGATATCAAGGATGCCTTTGGCATTTGTTGTGATTGACGTTATCTTTCGTGTGAACATTTCTTATCTATCGTACATGAATCCACATCACCCTATCTCAACGCTTCCTCTTCAGCCCCAAGTTGGGATATCATCCCATGCGAGATCGTCTCAGCTGAAGATCCAGAGGAAAACCCTCTTCCTCCCCCTTCTTATACAAGACCAAAGCCTCCTCAACCGTAAACATAACTCCCCTCTCGATCCTATCTTTCGCCTTCGCCTCTTTCAGCTCAACCTGCCTCGCCCGAATCTTCTCCAGACAAGCTTTCATCTCGTCGGCAGCCAGAGCGCGCTTCTTCTCCTCAGCCTCGCGCTTCTTCTCTGAAGCTTGGCGCTCCAGCTTACCGACTTCGATGCCAATCATCTTGGCCGAAAACTCATCCGCGGAGACAATGTCGTCCGCAAGCTCCCCCACCTCCTCTGGTCGGAAGGCGGGTTGCTGGTCTGTAGCCTCGAACCCAGGCCATGTAGGTGGGTTTTGTTCATCCCACAACCTCATGTAGGTTGGTAGGTATGTCAAGAGGTGAACTATTTCACTCTGTTAGCATCATGTAGGCTCCAGGGTATGTTGAGAACTCACCTGCGCAGCCCTCATAGGCCTTGACGGCACCAAGATGCTCACCCACCAAGCCATCCTTGATACAAGGACAGTAGATGATCGGACGGTTTGGGCGGGGGTCTTGGTAGACGAGATGGCCGCACACCAGGCAGAAACGTACAAGCCGGTTTGAGCCGAGATGATATGTCGTTCCCCGGAGTAGGTCGTCGTGTTCATCTCCTGTTGTAGGTACGCCGCATGTCAGGTCGCAGTCTCTGCACACGCCCAGGAATTTGTCGTCGAATTCGGGGTCGTTGGGAAGAATGTGGTAGACTTGGAAGCATAGCCGGCAGCCAAGATAACCCTGGCCTTTGGTGTACGGGTTGAGGGTGTATGGAGTGCACTTGGCATGCGCGCGCCTCACTACGAATGCTATCTTGTCTTGGAGCTTGAGGCCATGGGAGAAGCCTACTTCGACCAGTGGGCGGAAATGGCGGTGAGTCTGGCAGAGACGGAGGGCGGTCTGGTAGTCGGTTGCCTGGATAATGCCACAGAGGATGACTGGTGGTAGATCAAGTAGGCTTTTGCGCTGTTCGGGGCTGACAGGGGCAGCGATCTGAAGTCCTTTGCTAAAAGGTTAGTCGGAAGGTTAGTCAAGATCCAAGAAACGAAGTAAAGAAACGAAGTAGAAGAAATGAGGTAGAAGAAGCGAAGTAGAAGCGATAAAGAAAGAAATGTAGAGGCAATGCACGGAGGTTAGTCAAGTCGTACAAATCCAGAGTGAGGTTTCGGGCTCCAGTGTCGTTTGCTCGATGGTTAGCGCTCTGTTGGGCAGCGACGCCAGAGTTGGGCTGTGCCATCTTCTGAGCAGAGAGTGTGAGAGCTTGGTAGTAGCTGATATCTTGCTGTGATCTGATTGTGATCTGGTCGTGATCTGGTAGTGATCTGGCCGTGATTTGACTGTGCTTCACAAGTATCCTAGAACGCTGTATTCAATCACGTAAGTTGTGCTCGGTTAGTGAATGATCAAGTGTTGGCAGGTTTTGTCAACAAACAGAACAAGTTCAAAATCGTTGTTTGTGCCCAGGTGGCTGTGGATAAGTGGGGCTGGCTTAGCGGGACACGCGATCACGTGCGTGGACTAGCGCGCTTCTCGAGTAAACAGCGATTGATGGAGACAATGCGCCCGCTGTAGCATCTATTGACTGGCTTCGTAGTACATCGAAATCCGTCGCAGTCTGCGATTATACCATCATGCCTACCGCCACGAATCCAGAATCGCGCTCTCCGTCTCCCACACCCGCTCGACCCATCGCAGACGCACCCGGCCCGCGCGCGCAAGGTCTGATCAATGTATTCAACCAAGCCTCCAAAGCGACCTTAGACAAGTGTTCGGCCAAGAACTTCGCTTCTTGCTTCCCAACGGCTGCACAGTATAGCCCAGAGGTTTTGGACAACCTAAGAGGGCAAATTGTGGATCAGTTGGACCGGACATGGAAGAGCAACTTCGAGGACATCATGGAGAGGAGGAATGTCGTTAGGCTCCTTAACTCGCTGGACCAGTGCATAGAGGATGCGAAACTCAGGAAGAAACGCGCTGAAGCGAGCGCCAACGGTGGGCCCGTGGAAACGCCTGTGCCGTGAGTTTGCGAATGCACCCGCTCTTGTTGCTCTCGAATACTGACTCGAGGGCATAGACCGCATACCCTTACTCCAGCCGAAATACACCTAGCACACCTCATGCCTTTCCTCGAGAAGCAAGCGACCGATATGAACACTAAGCTTGTCGAGACCCAGCAGTCAAACACCGAGCTACTTTCGACCGTCACCGCACAACGCGCCGAGATAGAAGCCCTGGTACGAGGCCTAGAGAATGTCATACAAGATCTGGATGCTAGCGCGCAGATCATGGCACAAGACGATGTTCAAGAATTGAGCAGAGAGACTAGGGATCTTGAGATGGAGATGAGGACGTGATACTGGAGGGAAGAACAGTACCCCCTGGGATACTAGGAGCTTTCATCTTGAAGACTCAGAAAGATATCACGTCTCTACCACGATCGTGCCACGCGCTCAGAACCAGCGTCAGACCGCTAGCACCGGGCCCGACATCCCGCTTAGTTACCCGAACAGGGCTCTCGTCAGAGCCACACATGACTGGGACGCACAGGAGGGAGATGGCGGCGAAACTATACTCGCAGATGTTGAGAGAAGATAGATGCGGGAGCGGCGGCCGAAGGAACGCATGGTGACAGTTGCTGAGATCGCGAGTCCCTGCTAGTGGAATGCAGTAAATGGACGTGTCAGCTACTGCGAGGGTGAATAAGAGAGGTATCAGATACATCAACATTGACAGCAGGAGTGGAAGGCTTGAGAACAGGCAATTTGCCCATTGTCGCAAAGGATACGACACAAACGGGTTGTACAATGAACTTTTGAAAAATATAACAATTTATGAGTATACGCATCTGTCCATTTCAAACCTGGACTATATACACATCACTCATATTACCCTACCCCATCTATGGCATATAGCACTTGAGCAACGAACCCAAACTCAGCTCACTGCCCGTCTGCAACAGAAGATTCAACGCGCCAGTACCAAGGTACACAGGGCACTTGATCGCCTGCGCCTCATCCACAGCCTGCTTCAACGATTCCGCATACCCTCCAAGGACCTTACCCTTCCCGTCCTCCTTGCCTTCCAAAACAGCAATCATCTTCGCACCCGCATCCTTGAACATGGCACTTCCACCCGCGGCATCACATGCCAGTTCGTAAAACTGCGGTAATGGGATACCCACGTGCTTGGCTAGCGAGATGGCTTCAGCTGCGGAGACAAGGTGGATGCCGGTTAGGAGATTGACTACGAGCTGGAGCTTTGCTTCTTTGTCCTCGGCTGAGAGGCTGCTTTGGATGCTGGTGACGGGCTCGGAAGTCCACAGGCGGACGAGGCCAGAGTCGTCGTTGGCGCCCCAGCCGCGGTCGAGGGCGGAGAAGTAGACTTGTTCGGCGGCTGAGCAGAGGGTGGCTGGGAAGGCTACGCTGCGGGACATGGATGTGATGATTCCCTGTTTTGTTTTTGTTAGTACAATGCTACATCACTTCGGAATCCCGAGGATGGAGGGTTACTTACAGTATCCTTCAGGATAATCGTTACAGCACTCGCCCCAGGGAAATAGTCCTCCTTCAGCGTCCTCTGACTGCGGTTTTCAAACATCCAACTCCAGCCCGTACTCCCCAGCACCTTGTCGTACACATCCTGTCCGTTCAGGCCCAGTCTGGCAGCGAATCCATATGCTTCGCTGAGAGACAGGATCTGGATTGCCGCAAGCACCTGGTGAACCATCTTCATGTTGCTGCCAGCACCGATTCCACCATCAACGATGAAAAGCTTGGAAGGGGCGGACATTTCTTCGAGTAGCCATTGGCCTTTTGAAAACGCGGCAGATGAGGCGCCCGCCATGATGGAGAGAGTGCCGTCTGCGGCCCGGCCTGCACCACCGGAGACAGGTGCATCGATGAATAGAACATCATCGCGGCCGATATCTACCAGCTCTTTCTCTACACTCTTCGCGTACGCACTTGGTACTGTCGAGCACAGCAAGAGTGTCGCTCCCTTGGGCAAAGCGTTCACAATGCCGTCTTTGTCGAAAAGCGCGGGCTGAGCTTGCATAGCCGATGCGACCATGACGATATAGAAAGGCTTGTCTTTTGCAGAATCTGAGAGTGATGTTGATGGTGTGCCGCCCGCAGCCTGGAACTTCTCCAGCGAAGGAGGATAAACGTCGAAACCGGTTACAGGGTAGCCTTGCTTGACGAGATGCGTGGCCATACCCATGCCCATTGCTCCTAGGCCGCAGAAGCCGATTTGGGGTTTAGACGACATTGTTATGGTGTTTGTGGTGTCTTCCTGGTTTGGGTTGAAAGAGGGAGACCAGTTTGGTGTCCCAAAGTATCCTATCTCAACGCTGGGTTTTCAACGTTGATGCGACGAATACTACACGGAAGCCGATATCCACAGATGCAGTAGCTCTCTTCGGTGTCACTCTTCTTTATGCTGTTCCCAGTATCTAGCTCTTTCTTAATTGCGATATACCCGATCTGACGTTTGAAGTTGAGAGTTGGAGTCAAGATGTCAGTCACAAAACATCGACCACGAACTTCTCTCCCATCACCCCACAGTTCAACGTCACACGCCGCTACGTTCCCCAGGGAAAATGGCCTTGGGCCGGCAAAAGACCCGTCTTCGGTCATTGACATTCATCCTGGTTGCCCCGCACTATGAGCGAAACCGGTTAGGTGGGGTATCTCTCACCCGCCGAAAGTGGGTCGTCGGCAAATGACCGATGGCAGACTGTGTTGGGGAACCCGGCCGCACCAAGATTGTACATTGAGCATCGGCGGGCGGGCCGGCTCGATGAAAAGATGCTGCGGCTTGTTGATGAGAACGAAGTGTGTCCGGCCGGTGGGCTTCAGGTTCGGGTCAATGTATGCCGTGATAGAGACTGAATACAAACTCACATAGTGTTGCGACGATGGGATCTTCTGGACTTCGATCACATAACAATAAATGCGGATGTCGTATCATGTTCAACGAAGCATATAGATTATCTCATTACACTATTACTGCAAGGTTCATACAACGCGCGGTGAAAATCGTCAAAAAGTCGTGATATCCATGTGGCCAAAACCAGACTTCAGCTTCTAGTGAGATTGATCATCCAGAAAGCTTTCCATCACATAGCCCAAGCCACATTGATCGGATATATCGGATCCAAAACTGCAGTGTCGTCGCTCATTCCATCAGGGGTATAAGTCGTCAGTCCTCGTGAAGACGGACTATTAGCGGACAGAGAGTGGAACACTGCTTAAGCCGTCAGTGTGACGTCTAAGCAGCAACAACCCTCTCGTCCTCGCGACCGCGCTGGTGCTCACTAGCGATGGTGGAAGTGACATCGTCGTCAAGATCTTCGCCCTCGTAGCCGTTGCCCTGGTGCTGCTCAGCAGGGATCCACAAGCCAGACTCCCTGTCGAGGGCCTGGTCTTGGCCAGAGAGGTCAACACCCTCGCCCATGTTGCGGTTCTGGTTGCGGCGACGCTGAGAAAGGGTGCGCGATCGCTGGGAGAGCTTGGAGGAGACAGAGGCGTTCTGAGACACCCAGTTGGTAAGGGCATCCTCGCAGTCTTGGATGATGCTGTGGCATGTTAGTGGGGGGTTCTCATTGAAATGAATAGAGAAACTTACGCCTTGCTAGCCTCATAGCCATCGTAAGCTTGGCGGGTCTCTCCGGGAGTGACGGGGGTGTCGTCAACAAGCTCGAGCAAGTGCTTTCCGTAGCCGGCAATGATAGCCAGCTTCTCGCAGTGCTCGCGCATAGCATCGAATTGGTACGTGAAAGCTGCCTTGAGCTTCTCACGGGTGATGTTGGAAAGTTGGGCCTCTGCGACGAGGGACTCGGCCTCAGCGCGTACAAGCTCCTGCTCAAGGACAACAATCTTGGGAGAGTTGGGCTCCTTGTACTTCAACTGAGCAATCTGATCGGTGATCTTCTGCTTGCCTATTTGAACGTAAGCATCAATCGGACAGCGCGCATGTAGAGTACTTACGGTCACGGCTGGGCTGGACGGAAGCCTCAATGTTGCGGATGCTCTTGATGGTGACGCGGTATTGGTCGTAACGGTCAACGTACTGGTCCTCGAGCTCACCGATCTCGTAGATGAGGACACCGAGCTTGTCAGTGACGTCAGAGACGTCGTCGTCGCAAGCCTCGCCCCAGATGGAGAGTTGTTGCTGTGTGGCCAGTTAGTACTACGTAGAGTCGCACAGGGTTGTGCAAGCTTACTGCGACCTCCATGCGCTCCCTGGAAACAAGCTCCATGCTGCGCATGACGTTCTTCTCCATCTTGACAAGTTGTGACAGCTTCTTTGCAAGGTCGGGTCCGAAGGCACCAGCGGACTTGTGGCGGAAGGTGTGGCCTGTATGGTAGAAGACCAGTCAGCAACTGTAACATGAAAAAGCATTCTCTGAACGGTCTGGACGCTATCCGGGAGCATCAACGATCGAAATGGTCGTCGTCGCTGAACCATGCGACGAGCTCTGCACATACGGTGTGCAAAAATGGCATTAAGCGAAGCTCCTCGCACGATTCGCGTCGTGGCTGGAAACAAGACCAAAGCGGGCAGAATCGTATCGAGAGGACGTACCGATGTTGGCCTTGCCAAAGAAGCGTCCGCTCTTAGTCGAGGACGAAGGGGGCGGGGGACTCTGAATCTGCGACGCCGTGGGCGCGCGAGACTGGCGCATGCTGTAGGTTCTGTGCATATTGGCGGTGGTGTTCTGGCGATTGATCAAGTGTGGATTGGGGGAATGTATTCGTGCTTGAAGTTTCGGGGGCGGCGCGGTGTTGATATGGAAGGCGCAGAGATGTCGCGGTATGACGGAGGTTTTGTTTAGGGGACTTCAATGACGTAGCGTTTGCCTAGCCCCACTCTCCCCGTGGCGATCATGTTCTCGGGCACGCTACCTTCCCTCACATCATGCACATCCTCCACACTGCGACATTGGCACGCCCAAACCAGCATAGAGCATCCTTCTACGACCCTGAGTACCTGCATTCGACCCAGACCCTTTCTCGTGGTTTGCACCCGTATGCGACACACATATTGTACACAATCAGACAATGGTTGCCCTGCTTGCGCTGATCCTACCTAGCTTGGGGCCAGAACTTTTGGCGCCAGTGGCTATGTTCAATCCGGCTGATGTGACGTTGATGTGTGCCTGTTTTCGGGACCTATGGGCGCCATGACAACCGCACTACCAGGAAATCGTCTCTCCCTAGATCCTCGGAGAGAGCCATTCAAGTCGTCTATAAATCAGGTTGCGCATCTATTAAGATTCAAATGGGTACTTTCTGTAGGTTTTCAATGCTCGCCAGGACAGCGACTATATGGCAGCGGAGATATTGCTGTAGACAGAGGGAGTTGGTTGCCGGAGGTTCCGCGACGTGTGTGTACAGCACTGGTGCAGAGTGGTTGTCTTTGCAATTACAAATTTTCGCTTGCAATGGCAAGCTTTGGCCAATGGCAGAAACTTGGTTTTCTCAAAGTCTACACTGCCCATGTATAATTCGTGCATAAAACAATGGTATATCGTCGAAACATCTTGCTCGGAACTAATACATCGCTCCGTCATGCAGCGAGTTGGCGAAGACACTGAGAATGCTACCTGCTTCGCCCAGGCCAGTAGTTGGGCGCAGAGCCCAGAAGATAAGTTCGCCCTCCCGCGGTGACCGGCGGTGGTGCACAGCTAGCGATGCTAGTCCCACTGCGAATACAGTTGTCACACCTAGGAGGGTGTTGACGAACAACGGAGACGGGACCTCAGATCTGATGCGCTTTGATACTAGCGTTGGCTGTGAGACAACGACGTTATGCCGTCGAGACAAGGCAGACAGTCCAGGAATGTTGCCCAAGATCTCCTTCGCACTAGCTACCGTACTGGAGGCGAGAGTCTGTGATCTTGCTGTCCATGGTAGAGAAGTACTTCTTAGGAGTTTCTTCGCGCCCGTAGAAACAGACCAGACCTCTACAGGGTCGACCTCGTCGGTGTAGAAGAAATCCTTGCGCAACTTACGAATGTATGCTCCGATGCGTGGATACTTGGTCTGGATAGTCTCCCTAAGCCAAGCTTGGGGCACCGTTGGGTAGTACAGCAGGGACAGATAGCCAAAGGCAAGAGAATCCAAGCTAGAAGGCTGCTCTCCACGAAAGAGATGGTCGTGTTTCCCCAATAGATCTGATAAGGGATCCAGGAGCTCACCCGACAGAGCATCCAGTCTAAAGCGCGCAGCGTATACTTGGCCACCTAGGAGACCGCCTAGACCCTTTCCACGTCCCATGCTCATGGCGCTGGGTTGACTTTCGGTCGGTATGCCGGCTGCCCTTTTTGCGGCCTCATATTCGGACGAAGCAGTGCCCCGACCCGGCGCAAAGCCTTCCTCAGCTGTAGTATCCACATCCAAGCTACTGAGTCCCATGTGCGCCGTCCGGGCTCTCGCAAGGTCTCGTCGTTTCGGCGGGACGGTGTAGTTGGCATACCATGGCAGGATTGCGGTATAAGCGGACGAGGTCGCGGTGTTGTAGTTTTCGGCAGAGACGTAGAGGGACAGGTCGATCAGAGGCGTCGCCGTGGACTGGAGAAACGTGATGAAACTAGAAATGTGTTAGAACACGCCTAGTACTTGGTCGTTGGGTACCCACGCCGTCCTGTCGGTCCGCTGTCTACTGGATAGGTTGGCATCGAGGTCATTGGTAACTGCAGGGTGATTACGGAGGTATGCGACAATATCCTCGAAGCCGGATGCGGTCGCAACATCGTCATCAAAAAGGATCGGCAGGCTCTCTGCTGCTGTGTAAGAATGTACATCGGCCACGGTGGGGTTGCAGTCCTGTACCTGTGGCGCCAACCGTGGGGTCGTGCTCCGCGACGAGTGTCCAGTCGCCCTTGGGGATCACGCGCTGGCAGTAAGCAACCGTCGCTATGCATTCCGGCTCTATTGAGGGGAGGCCAAAGGCTGGGCCCCATACATGAAGCTCAAGCACCATGTCTTGTGCCGTGTTGCGGTGCGCTGTTGGTCTGGGAGATCCTGACGCACTTCTCTACAACCTCTGCGCACGCCGATCGGAACGTTCCTAGCGTCGGAACGCGTGCACGTGAACACGCATCATCGTTGGTTTCCATGCTCCCAGCTGCACTTGCTTGATAACATTGTCGACATCAAACCTTCACAACTCCAATATGGCACCACTCCGACGCTACTTGCGGATTACAAAACATTCGGTCCTTGAGGTCCGCATCTATCTCGACAGACCTGCTGACGCTGAGG